GAGCAGAACTAAGCACAGAACCTGCATATCCTGCATCCTAGGCAGTCCGCTACTCGTGACATCACATGGCCTCCCTTGGTTGGCAGGCTTTGATTGCAGTCATAATTGTAAATTATTTTTGTACTGTTCCCAGCATACTAGAGCATATGATTGGCACAAGGGAGCAGAAGTACCAACAATGTGAAAGATTATACTCTGTGTTGTGCATTTTATTTTAATTATTCTGCGTTAGTTTATTTTGTGGACAAATCAGATATACCACCATATGCAAGGTTTCATGGGAGAGGGCCAAGTCTCTGATAGAGTCCTGCATCCTTAAAATTCCTCTTATTCTGCAAAAAGGCACTGGTACTGCATTTTTTTAAAACAGAGAATCCAGTAGAATTCAATGGAATATTCTTTGCAAAAAGGGTTTTAGGATCCTAGCTTCAGTGTTTTGCACGTTATAACTCAAAACCAAACCTTATTTTGAGAATAAAAAACTCTCAGTACAATTTTCCCTTTTTTGCATGCAGGTTATATCTAGGCCAGATGCAAAACTGCCATGTGTTCTAATTTAGTTGGAAGCAGGAAGTACTAGAAATTTCCCAGGAGTGGCTAGTCTTATGGGTCTTCCAGTCCAGCTGTAAAACCTTAAGAGCTTTGGTCCCAATCAGGTGTGGATAAACACCCAGGCTACGTCTACACTGGCCCCTTTTCCGGAAGGGGCATGTAAATTTCACCAGTCGTCGTAGGGAAATCCGCGGGGGATTTAAATATCCCCCGCGGCATTTAAATAAAAATGTCCGCCGCTTTTTTCCGGCTTTTAAAAAAGCCGGAAAAGAGCGTCTAGACTGGCCCCGATCCTCCGGAAAAAGCGCCCTTTTCCGGAGGCTCTTATTCCTACTTTGAATTTAAATCCCCCGCGGATTTCCCTACGACGACTGGTGAAATTTACATGCCCCTTCCGGAAAAGGGGCCAGTGTAGACGTAGCCACAGACTTTGGGTTGGTTTTCTATAATTAAACTGACACTTTGACATTCAAAATGTATTTCTTCTTTTTATATGCTTCCGTATGCCTACACTAGAGATTGTTTTTACATTGCATGTCTTTTATATGCCATATGCATCAGAAAGTACTAAGTTTGGTACCAGTTGTGACTCTAGAAACTTAGGCTATGTCTAGACTGTAGGCTTCTTTCGGAAGAAGCTTTTTCAGAAGAGTTCTTCTGAAAAAACTTCTTCCGAAAGAGAACATCCACAGTGCAAAAGAGCATTGAAAAACCAATCTGCTTTTTCGAAAGAGAGCATCCACGCTGATGCCTTTCAGAAAAAGGCTTCTTCCTCGTAGAATGAGGATTATGAACGCTGGAAAATCCCGTTTTTTCGATTTTTTTTTCAGAAGAACGCAATTGCAGTGTGGACGTAATTGAAGTTTTTTCGGAAAAAGGGCCGTGTTTCTGAAAGAACTCTGTAGTGTAGACATACCCTTAGAGCCATTATGTGTTCAATAGTACAGCATACACAGTACAGAAAACTTAATTAAATGACCAGCAGTTCCCAATAAGTAGAAATACTTATAGGTTACGTCTAGATTGCATCCCTTTTTCGTAAAAGGGATGCAAATTAGACGTATCACAATTGCTAATGAAGCAGCATAAAAAGGCCTGCCGCTTTTTTTCGGCACGGAGCTTTGCCGGAAAAAAGCGCCAGTCTAGACGCGGATCTTGTGGAAAATAAAGCCTTTTCCGAAAGATCCCTTATCCCATAGTGCACGATATTTAGGCTCTGCTGAACAAATCAGAAATCTCTCCATTGCTAGCTATAAAAGTGGAAGGATTCAGCTAGTCCAAGGGGAATGTTTCGTAACTGCATGCAGCCAGCTCAGATTGAGATGGCAAGGCTGAGCCACAGGAAGGGGGGAAACTGAAGGGTGCAGCTTGCAGCAATTTTAAACTACATTGGCTGATTAAACTGGTCGACTGATCGCATTTTGCAGTGTTCACAACAACCCACTCAAGCTTGCAGGAGGCAAAATCACTAACATCAGCCATGGTATTTCTTTGATTCTTTTAACAGTGTTGGTGACCTTTTACTTTTTCAATGAAACAGCGCCCTGTATACTGCAGGGAAATCTACCTGGTCTCCTGCTACTCTGCAGAGGGCTGGCTCTTCATGTTTGCTCTAACCCTCTCATTTTTTGCTAAGAGGACAGAGTGATAAAAAGCCTGGGAAGCAGAGATAGTCCAAAGAGAGGGAAGACCCGATGGGCAAAAAGGTAAAATGCATTTAGGAGACAGGGTAAAGCCAATAAAGATTAATTTTCTCTGCTGTTGGGAATCACTTGACACAGGAGAGTTTGGAAGGGAGACCACAGAGCCAGAGTTTGACTCTTCCATCCTGTTGGTTTGATCTGTACCAAACCATTTCAAATTGCAGCATAAATTAGAGTAGCCTAGGCACTATCCTAGGTTGTGTGACTTGGCTGCGATCCCAGAGAAAATGCTTCAGACACACCCAGAGCCGTCCTTCCCATATGCAATATTCGCAGCTGTGTAGGGCACCCAAAAATTTGGGGCACCACTGAGTCTTAGGCTATGTCTACACTGCATTCTAAACTTGAAATAAGTTAGGGTATGTTTACACTAGCCCCCAGTTCGAACTAGGGAAGCTAATGTAGGCATTTGAAGTTGCAAATGAAGCCCGGGATTTAAATATCCCGGGCTTTATTTGCATCTTCCCGTCCGGGCACCATTTTTAAATCCCCTTAGTCCGAACTAACTGCCCGCGGCTACACACAGCAGTCAAACGTTAACTCGAACTAAGTCCTTAGTTCGAGTTAACTGTTACACCTCATAGAATGAGGAGGAATGAGGTGTGACAGTTAACTCGAACTAAATACTTAGTTCGAGATAATGTTTGACTGCCGTGTGTAGCCGCAGGCAGTTAGTTCAGACTAACGGGATTTAAAAATAGCGCTCAGATGGGAAGATGCAAATAAAGTCCGGGATATTTAAATCCCAGGCTTCATTTGCAACTTCGAATGCCTACATTAGCCTCCCTAGTTCGAACTAGGGGGCTAGTGTAGACATACCCTTTTGTACTTATTTCGAGTTTATTTTGAAATAGGCTATTTAAGGCACTAGTCCATAATAAGGCACGACGGTTACAGGGATGCCAGAATAGCGGGTGCTTTTAAAGACATGGCATTGTTGTTTCGGGATACTTCTGCTATCCCAAAAGAGCAATGCAGTCTAGACGTACCCTTACAAGTGAAAAAGCCTTCCAGAGCTATTGGCAGACACTGAAACTGTGAAAGAGCCGTTCAAGTGGTAATCAAGCCATTTAAGAAGCACTTGCCAACCCTAGATATATACTGTCAGTTTCCAAATTTACTCTGTTAAACTAAAATCTGTAGACTAACATTTGCTTTAAAACGGTTTTATTAGCGTGTTGCTGAAGATTATAAAATCACATCTCTAAAAAATGTCACCCCCTCCACTCTGCCATTGGGCATAGGGGCACCAATGTAAGAGTGTGTCTAGACTACAGGGTTTTGTCGACAAAAGTGGACTTTTGTTGACAAAACTAAACCTGTGTCTACACTACCGCTGAGTTCTGTCGATATAACGTCGACAGAACTCAGCAGTTTTGTCGACGCTGGTAAACCTCATTTTACGAGGAATAACGCCTTCTGTCAACAGAGTTCTGTCGACAGAAAGCGTTATTGCATCTAAACTGTCCTTTGCATCTACACTGCCATGTCGACAAAGCAGCTTGCTTTGTCGACAGAACTGAATGTAGTCTAGATGCTCTTTGTCGACAGAAGCTTTGTCGACAGTATCTGTCGAAAAAACTTCTGTCGACAAAAGCCTGTAGTCTAGGCATACCCTAATAGTACTGTGTAGGGCCCCATAAATCCTTAGGATATCCCTGAACATCCAAAGGCAATTCCTATTCAGCAGTGGCATAGGCCCCAGTTATGCTGGCTTTACACCTTCTGTGTGTGTACTCTCTCCCCTAGCTGTGGCTATACATCTACCTTCCAGCTCATTGGTCTGCCTCAGTGCCTCAAAGGAGCTGGCTGGGGCAGCTGTTACTGAGGCAAATGTTACTAACAAACATCCAACCAGGAAAGGGTGTGAAGAGCCTGTCTAAAACATTGATTAGGAAATTAAGAACAAAGATATAGAAGTGGGGGTGTCATTTCAGTGGGTGCTTAAGTCCCCCTTTCTAAGGCAGAGAGGCACTTCAGACTCTAAGGCTATGTCCACACTGCACAGTTTTGTCAGAAAAATGGCCATTTTTCTGACAAAACCTGAGTTACGTCCACACGGCAATCACGTTCTTCCGAAAGTAAATCGAAAGGACAGAGGAGGTTTTCCGGCGTTGGTAACCCTTTTTCTACGAGGAAGAAGCCTTTTTCCGAAAGAGCTCTTTCGCAAAAAGGCGTGTGTGGACGGGGAAGAGGGCGTTCTTTTGAAAGAAGAGGAAAGAGGAAAAAGCACAGGTGCCCTGGTGCCACTCCATCCATAGTAATCACAGCTGAAATGGGAGAGAGCGTCCATTCAGTGTGGATGCTATTTTTTGAAAAAGCAGATTGATTTTTCGATGTGATTTTGCAGTGTGGACGTTCTCTTCTGGAAAAGCTTCTTCCGAAAGAAGCCTGAAGTGTAGACATAGCCTAAGACACTTTGGAAAATGGTATTTAAGTGCCTTAGTCACTTTTGAACATTTTGCCCTGGCAGTAACACAATGGCAACATCCCGGTCGAAGACTTGTCCTTTTAGTCACTCCCTTAAGTCTTCTAACAGCTCCCTGAAATTTCTTTTTCCCAAATTAACATTGACCAGGCCTAAAACTTTTCTGGCTTATTGCGTTTCCTACTAGCTGCTTCTCTGAGATGTCCTGTACCCGTGAGCTCTGCTAGCGTTCACCAGTGACAAGAGCTGATGAATGCACTACATTCTCTGGAAATGATTGCTCCTTTTGAATGGGCTCTCTGGGTTTTTTCCTCTAGAAGAATTGAAGGGCCCCCTGGAAGAGTATGTCAACAAACGATACCCAGGGCTTGTGAAGGTGGTGCGCAACCAGAAAAGAGAAGGCCTGATCCGTGCTCGGATTGAAGGTTGGAAGGCTGCCACTGGACACATCACTGGATTCTTTGATGCTCATGTAGAATTCACTGCAGGCTGGTAGGTATAATAATAAAAAAAATCAGGCGTAATGATTTCATGATCTGGTTAGATTATCGACTGTATATTTTTTTGTCCGTCTGTCTGTCTGTTCGAGAACGCCTCCTAAACAGTGAGAGCTAGGATGGTAGACAGTTTCCTCGTATCATAACTTAAAGCAAGATCAAGGTTTGGTTGTGCCAGGAGAACGGGATGTGCCTGGAACGGGATTGCTTCTCAGGAAACCACACAGAAAAGAGACAGAATCACCAGACAGGTGAAAGTGGATGGCTGGGAATGCCCCTCTCCCTCCCATCCAGGTCTGCCTCAGCCCTGAGCCTCCCACCCTCCAGGTGCCCTATAGAAAGGGGGGGTGGCCCCCTCCCACATTTGTACAGGAACATTGCTGGCAGTTCCCTTCATCAGGGAGTGAGGGAAAAGTGCACACCCTGGCTAGAGAGTACAGGGGGCAGACAGTCCGTGCACTTTGCTCTTGCTCCCTGACAGGGACAGGGAGGGGAAGAGCAAGCAGCTTTGGTCTCGGGTGGGGGCGATTTGCCCCCTATCCACCCTTCCCACCCTGCCTCCACATACACCCATCGTGTCCTTGCTAGAACCCCTCCCCATCCTCCACCTCAGACTTCTGTAACACCTACACCCCCAGCTCCCTGCCCTGAGTCCCTCATTAAGGACTCGAGCAACGCCAGGCAAATGTGCTAGTAAGGGAACAAATCAGGCATGTTGAACATGCATAATTGAGCATGGACATTCTTGCAAGTGTGTCCATTAAATTAATAAAGTAGGTCCTTCCTTAAATCCAAGGTACTGTGGATTGTGTGAGGCCTGCTACAGCCCCTGTTTTCTGTACCCCTCCTAGCCTCCACTCATATTTTATTTTGTTCAGCTCAGTGCCCCTTCCTTGACCTGAGTGAATTCTGTAAGCTAAAAAGACGAGGCGGCAGGGAATTGAAAAAGAGAATGGTTCCAATGTTACAGTCCTTTCTACCTTTATCTCTCTGGGGAAGGTTTATGTTTTGTATTGGTTTGATTCTTCTTAAATTGAAAATAAGTTCAAAAGTGCAAGGACAGCAGAAAGTATTTCAAAGGGACTCTTTCAGAGGGATTGATGCATCTAGAGCTCAAAGTATCAGAGGAAATTCTATTACGTTTCTCAGTCTGCACAATAAGAAGGTTCCACAAATGATAGTTTTCAACAAAATGTGTATTTAAAAATATGGTCTGTGCTTAGAATACTGGAGACAGGAGAGGCTAATGCACATTTCATTGTGTGACATGAAAAGAGGAAAAGAAAAACTCATCTACCAGGAAAATGTTATCACCTGCAAATAGAAAACACATTCTCATGTCGAGTTATCACATTTTTTGTGTGGCTAAGGACATGGGCAGAGGCTGTTTCTAATACCAGTACCTGTATTCACTCCTAAAGGCTGCAATGATTAGGCTGCTAGCTTTTCAAAACTCAATTTTATGCATGTGTATGGGAAGCTGTAATTGACTGAACGCACTGTTGAAGCAGCTTTTTCTAGCGGTAAGGGACGAGAGCAGCAGATTGCTCCTTTGACTGCATTATGAGCTTGATCTTGGCAGACTCTGAGCACCTTCAGCACTCAGTGAAGGAATTAAGATGGCTTAGCACTTGGGCAGAAGGAGCCCTGTCTGTTGGGAACCCATCCCCCCCCAACTCTGAACACTCCCAGCTGGCTGAGACACAGGCTTGTAGTTCAGAATATTGTGGCTTGGGTCCCTGTCTGGTTTTCCGTGTGCATGTTTCAAGGATAAAAAAGGGTTATCCAGATCCTTTCCGTAGTGGGTGGGCAAAACTGGACGCAATGCCCCAGATATGGCTCCACAGTAGTGAAGAGTGGGAAATAATAGCTGGAGGCAAACGTGCAGTGTTCTAAATAAAAAATGTGTATCCACATCTGCATCTGCAAAAATGAGCCTTGGATATCTGCATGGATGAGGATGCCATGAACATAAAGCAGAGAGCCATGGATTTGCAGGGCTCTACGCATAGCCTCCTTGCCTATATTTACTTGTATTTAGAGACATGTTTTCAGAAGGGAGGGTGGGGAAAGATGAGGCAAACTGCAACCAGAAGGTTTGCCTATGCGCACTGCAAATATCCACCTGTGGAAGCACGTCAAGGATTTCAAGGGAAATTTAAACATTCACATTGGGAAATCTAGTCCTTATTGTCATGCTTTTCAGAATGTCTCCAGCAAAGTGTGCCTGCAAAATTTATGTTCAGACTGTCACCATCGTGTGCAAACCAGTTAATTGTATTCCCAAACACAGATAAGCAATTAGGCATCCTGCATATGGAAATACTCCCTTTACACATTCTGCCTCTGTCTGCGAAATATCGGATGACGGTATTGACAAACTGGCTCTTATCATCTAATCTAATCCGTAGATTGCCTGGTTCGATACCTTCTTTAAAACACAGATGAATCCATGTTTAATACCACTTTGTACCTAAGTCAAGCCACTACAAAATGCATCACAGGCTGTGTCTAGACTACATGACTCTGTCGTCAGAGGCATGTAGATTAGACACATAGGCAAAGGCAAATGAAGCCGCAATTTAAATGATCGCGGCTTCATTTAAATTTACATGGCTGCCACGCTGAGCAGACAAACAGCTGATCAGCTCAGCGCGGCAGCCATGTAAATTTAAATGAAGCCGCGATCATTTAAATTGCGGCTTCATTTGCCTTTGCCTATGTGTCTAATCTACATGCCTCTGACGACAGAGTCATGTAGTCTAGACACAGCCTGTGATGCATTTTGTAGTGGCTTGACTTAGGTACAAAGTGGTATTAAACATGGATTCATCTGTGTTTTAAAGAAGGTATCGAACCAGGCAATCTACGGATTAGATTAGATGATAAGAGCCAGTTTGTCAATACCGTCATCCGATATTTCGCAGACAGAGGCAGAATGTGTAAAGGGAGTATTTCCATATGCAGGATGCCTAATTGCTTATCTGTGTTTGGGAATACAATTAACTGGTTTGCACACGATGGTGACAGTCTGAACATAAATTTTGCAGGCACACTTTTGAGCGGACAAACAGCTGATCAGCTGTTTGTCGGCTCAGCGCGGCAGCCATGTAAATTTAAATGAAGCCGCAATCATTTAAATCGCGGTTTCATTTGCCTTTGCCAAAACAACAAATCTACATGGCTCCGTCGACAGAGCCATGGGCTACGTCTACACTGGCCTCTTTTACGAAAGGGGCATGCTAATTTTAAACTTTGTAATAGGGAAATCCGCAGGGATTTAAATATCCCCCACGGGATTTAAATAAAGATGTCCGCCGCTTTTTTCCGGCTTGGGGAAAAGCCGGAAAAAAGCGTCTAGACTGGCCCGATCCTCCGGAATAAAGCCCTTTTCCGGAGGATCTCTTATTCCTACTTTGAAGTGTCCAGTTCCCCGCTCAAAGTTGGACGAACTGCAACTAAATCATCCCAGCCAGGGCTTTGTCAAGCCGGGAGTTAAAAAACTCCTGGGATGGAGATTCTATCACATTCCTATGTAACCTATTCCAGTGCTTCACTACCCTCTAGGAATATAGTTTTTCTTAATAACTTAATAATACCACAACTCCATTGTTCTTCGTTCTGTCATCTGCTACCACTGAGAACAGCCTTTCTCCATCCGCTTGAAATACCCCCTTCAGGTGGTTAAAGGCTGCTGTCAAATCCCCCCTCACTCTTCTCTTCTGCAGACTAAATAAGCCCAACTCCCTCAGCCTTTCCTCATCAGTCATGTGCTCCAGCCCTGAATCATTTTTGTAGCCCACTGCTGGACTCTCTCAAATTTATCCAGATCCTTTCTGTAGTGGGGGGAGGGAGGAGGGAGGAACTGGATGCAACAGTCCACATATGGCTCCACCAGTGGTGAAAAGTGGAAAATAATTACTTCCCTCATTTTGCTAGCAATGCTCCTACTAATGCAGCCCGATATGCCGTTAGCCTTCTTGGCAAGAAGGGCGCACTGTATACTGTGGTGTTTCTGCATGCAAGGAACATCTCCGGCTCCGGAGGGGCTCATAAAGCCGCCATACCTTGCATTCTTTCCGGTTTGTGAAATTGCCTTTTTGTGTGTCATGTGGTATCCTCCACCGAGTCCGTGAATTTTGCACCGGAATATTCAACTGCATAAAAAAGAGCCTAAACGCTAGCACTCCTGGGTATGTTGTTATTTGAATTCATGTACAGCCACTGTCCCCTGTAGCCTAATTGATAATAGTTTCTCGTAATTGATGTGTTCATGCTTCTCCCTGGCAGAAAATCGCATGAAGTAGAAGGTCAGAAACTTCTAATGCCTCCCAGGTGGCTGACAAAGCTGCATTGCAGACCTTAAGAAGGATCCATTTAGTCTCAGAAAACGGAAGAACTTTCCTTTGCCTCTGGTATCTGTGTTCACGTCCCACTCTCCAAAAGGGTTTATCAGAGGGCGGTTTAATGGACTGAGCCCAGCGTTGTGAGTCAGGGACTCTCCAATTTAAATGTAGGCTTTGGCACCGACTAGCTGTATGGCCTAGTGCAAGTCACTTAACCTCTGCTGTCTGGAGTCTGCTGTCTCCTTCACCTCTGGGCTGTGTCTAGACTGGCCAGTTTTTCCAGAAAATCAGCCGCTTTTCCGGAAAAACTTGCCAGCTGTCTACACTGGCTGCTTGAATTTCTGCAAAAGCCCTGACGATCTCATGTAAGATTGTCAGTGCTTTTGCAGAAATACTGTGCTGCTCCCGTTCGGGCAAAATTCTTTTTCCGAAAAACTTTTGCGCAAAAGGGCCAGTGTAGACAGCAGAGATTTGTTTTCCGCAAAAAAGCCCCGATCGCGAAAATGGCGATCGGGGCTTTTTTGCGGAAAAGCACGTCTAGATTGGCCACGGACGCTTTTCTGCAAAAAGTGCTTTTGCGGAAAAGCGTCCTGCCAATCTAGATGCGCTTTTCCGAAAATGCTTTTAACGGAAAACTTTTCTGTTAAAAGCATTTCCGGAAAATCATGCCAGTGTAGACGTAGCCCTGTAGTTTCAACAAGTCAGTGGAATGATGTCATCTTAAGTGGGAACAGAAATGGGTCCTTTTTCTTTGTCCTTTCTGACAGGGATGCTGTCTGAGCTAGCAGAAATAAGGTGTTCACGATGGCTAAGTTGGAGGTGTGATTGCCTTGGCTTTGGTGTGGGCTGGCATTGTGAGCAGCGTTCCCTGTAAGGTGTCTGCTTGTGCAACCATTCAGGAGAGATTCAAATTCTGGTTACCTGATTGTCAGGGCCGTACAGCTAGGTTTTTGCTTCTACTGGTGGTGCACATTCCACATGCCTCCGTGCACATAGAAAAATTATTCTGCACATGTATGGAAAAGAATAGCAGCAACACTGATTGTAAGTACGGATGCAGAGTCCCTGGAAGACTTTGGCAGCCCACATTGAAAACATATGGCCGTGCCTTTATTGCTGTTGTTAGCCATGCTGGGTACGCCATCCTGTGCTACAGTCACATTGTCAACTGAAGCAGACACACAACCTAAGTGTTGCCATCCGGCATGGGGGTTGTTAAAGTGCTGTCCATGTCCATGTGTGTTGCAACAGCACTCCATGCCCCTTTTCTGTTTCCTTCCTTTTGCCTTTTAGGGCTGAGCCTGTTCTTTCGCGAATCCAGGAAAACCGGAAAAGGGTTATTCTTCCGTCAATCGACAATATCAAGCAGGACAACTTTGAGGTGCAGCGCTACGAGAACTCTGCCCATGGATACAGCTGGGAGTTATGGTGCATGTACATTAGCCCACCCAAAGACTGGTGGGATGCTGGTGACCCTTCCCTGCCAATCAGGTACGTGGTGGAGCTGGGGACATGTCTGGCAATCAGAGAGCCAGTGAAATGGTACGACTTGTGGAATGAGGGAGAAGGCAACAGTGCTGAAACGAGGGATTTCACTTTTCCAGGTGGAGGAACATTATTTCACATTGCAGTCACACTCAGGGTACCAACAAGGGATCGGGTCCCACTGCATGACATAAGCACAGGTTTTTATGGCTGATTTTAAAATGTGTCTTTACAGGAAAGCAATTCAGGTGATTATATTTATTGTCAACTCTTTTAATTCATGGGAAATCAGATGATTTTTCTCCTAGAATCTAGTTTGTTGGACAACATCTAAGCAACCACTGGAGTGTACTTATCTGCTGCCGTATATTGCTCTTTTATAATATGTTGCTATGGACTTGGCTGCAAGGAAAGGGTTACCGTTCTGCATATTTTGCCTCCTTTTGAGAAAACACCTACATTTTATCGCAACTCCAGGGACACAATAGCTAAGCCTTTAATCCATTTTCTTTACTTATGGATTTAAAGCCCGGCTGACAGCAGAAGGATGGGGATATCATCTCATTAAAAAGGTATATCCTGGAAAAATCTGTCTCAGGCAAAACTGGGGGTATGTCTACACTGCAAAGTTTTTTTCAGAAAAACGGCCATTTTTCCGAAGAAACTTCAATTACGTCCACACTGCCCTCGCGTTCTTCCGAAAGAAAAGTGAAAGAACAGAGGGGTTTTTCTGACATTGGTAATCCACATTCTATGAGGAAGAAGCCTTTTTCCAAAAGAGCTCTTTTGGAAAAAAGTGCATGTGGACGGGGAAGAGGGAGTTCTTTTGAAAGAAGAGGGAAGAGGAAAAAGCACAGGTGCCCTGGTGGCCATTCTGTCCATAGTAATCACAGCTGAAATGCGAGATAGCATCCATTCAGTGTGGACACTATCTTTCAAAAAAGCAGATTGATTTTTCGATGCGCTTTTGTAGTGTGGACACTCTCTTTCGGAAGAATTTTTTTTGGAAGATCTCTTCCGGAAAAGCTTCTTCTGAAAGAAACCTGCAGTCTAGACATAGCCTGGGCTAACGGAGACAGACCTAATGGCTGGAATCTGAAGCCAGACAAATCTAAACGGGAAATAAAGCAGGTTTATTTAACCGAATGTGGGAATAACCATTGAAACAAAGGACCAGGGGAAATGGCAGATTGTCCATCTCTTGGCATCTTCAAATCTAGACTTAGATACTTTTCTGGAAGTGATGTTTTAGCCAAACACAGGTGCAATACAGGGAGAACTGGGTGAAATGTAATGGCTTGTGATACACAGGAGGTCAGATTAGATGATGCAATGTTGCCTTCTGTCCTTCAGCTGTAGGAATCTGGGTTCTAAGGACATGCTGACCACACGGTCACCCCTAGCGTTTCCTGTTCCACAGTAACATTTCAGTGAGCAAAATGATGCATATGGAAGTCGTAGCAATGCAGAAGATGACAAATGCAAGTGGGATGCTTAGCTCCCATGGACTTTACAGTGGGACCTGTGCTCCAAATTTCCTAATATACCTTTGAAGGTCTTCTCTGAAGAACCTTAAAAGACCAGAAGAGAACACAACTGGTGGGAATGTCGGTCTGTTTTTGCTGTGGTTCACTTATGAATAGCATTATTATTACTGGTACATTACTGTTCCTATCTTGATGCTGCACGGCCTCAGTATTGGTTGATGTGGCTCTTCATAGTATACAGAAACTGGTGCATTCCTTCCTCCTAAGAATTTACATTATAGAAAGATACGGGATGTAGGAAAAGGGAGTGAAAGGGAAATTGGTGTTCCCTGTAAGCTGAGCACTTGGGTGGTCAACCAGGAGAGATTCAAATGCGGCTCAGCTGATTAGCAGAGCAACCCCAGCTAGCAGCATGGCTACGTCTACACTGGCCCCTTTTTCGAAAGGGGCATGCTAATTTTAAACTTCGGAATAGGGAAATCTGCGGGGGATTTAAATATCCCCCGCGGGATTTAAATAAAGATGTCCGCCGCTTTTTTCCGGCTTGGGGAAAATCCGGAAAAAAAGCATCTAGACTGGCCCAATCCTCTGGAATAAAGCCCTACTTCAAAGTAGGAATAAGAGATCCTCTGGAATAGGGCTTTATTCTGGAGGATCGGGCCAGTCTAGACGCTTTTTTCTGGCTTTTCCCCAAGCCGGAAAAAAGCGGCGGACATCTTTATTTAAATCCCGCGGGGGATATTTAAATCCCCCGCGGATTTCCCTATTCCGAAGTTTAAAATTAGTATGCCCCTTTCGAAAAAGGGGCCAGTGTAGACGTAGCCCATGTGTTTCTACTGGTGGTGCACATCTGCACATGCTTTGATGCACATAACAAAATTTATTCCTCACCTGGATGGAAAAAATAGAGGGGACGTTGGCAATAATATATCTGATCTCTGTTAATGCACGAATAGACATTTCTATCATTTCCCCTCGCCTACACCTAGCTGTCATTTGTTGATAGATTTCTTATTGGTATCAAAGGGGATTGGTAGGTTTGGAGCAGACTTCCATGAACAGAGAGC